GAGATCTTGACTCTCCATGGGGCCAGATGGGCTGCATCCAAGAGCGCTGAGAGAGCTGCTTCATGTCCTTGCAAGGCTGCTCTCTATCACCACTGATGCACCATGGAGACTGGGGAAGGTCCCTAGTGACTGGAAAAAGGCAAATGTTTCATCCATCTGCAAAAAAGGCCAAAAAGGATGATCACGCAGAAGGATGATCTGGAGAACTACGGGTTGATCAGCTTCACTTTGGTCCCTCGGAAAATCATGGAGCGGGTCCTCTTGGAACACATTTCTGGGCACATGAAGGAGAAGGTTACTGGGAACAGTTAGCATGGATTTACCAAGGGTAAATCATGCCCAGTCAACCTGATTGCCCTCTAGAATAAAATGACTGGATTTTTGGACAATGGGAGAATAGTGGATGTCATTTGCCTTGACTTAACCAATAATTTTGACTGTCTCTCACAATGATCTTGTATCCAAATTGGGAAAATACTGCTTGGAAGGTTAAAAAGCTGGTTGAACAATCAAGTTCAGAGGGCACTGGTTCATGGGTCGTGCTCTACCTGGACGCTGGTAAAACATGGAGTACGGCAGGAGTCTGTCCTGTTTAACGCCTTCACCAATGACTTGGAAGAGGTGATAAATGTACTCTTGTCAAGTCTGCAGATGACACCAAATTGGGGAGGGGGATCACTTGATATGCCTGAGGGCAGGGCTGCTACTGAGAGGGATGTAGATAGACGGGAGAAACAGGCTAACAGGAACGTTATGAAATTCAAGAAGAAGAAATGCAAAGTTCTGCTCCTAGAAAGAAAGAACTCTGGCACCAGTACAGGCTGGGGACAGCCTGGCTGGGAAGCCACTCTGCAGAAAAAGCCCTCAGGGCTGATGGGCAGCAAGGTGACCATGAGGCAGCAGTGTGCATTGGCAGCAAAAAAGGCCAACAGCGTCTGGGGCTGTATGGACAGGGGCAGAGCCAGAAGATGGAGGGAAGTGATTGTCCCCTTTTACTCAGCACTCGTTAGATCACACCTAGGTTAATGTGTCCAATTTGGAGCTCTCTAATGCAAGAAAAACGCAAATCAACTGTACCAAGTTCAGCAGAGGGTCACCAGGATGGTCATGGGCTAAAGCATTTGCCTTACGAGGAGAGGTTGAGGGAACTGGGCTTGCTCAGCTTGGAAAAGAGAAGGTTTCAGCAG